CAGCTGAGAATGGTTCACAAACTAAAAACAACAGTGTTCTAGTGGTATCCAAATAAACTGCTCCCAACCATGTGCAAACCAACTGACTCTGACCAAGTGTGCTGAAGAGAGAAAATCTACTGGGAAAAGATGACACATGACTACCATACCAGACATAAGATTGTTGAAACTGTAAACAGGTACCAGATTCGCCCACAGAAGGCTCAGTGATTAAAAAAAGAGACACCAAGGTCCATGGTTGTTATTGACAACCCTAAAATCACCATCTGGAGAAACTGTCATATGACTTGGTACTTAGACTGTAAAATTTACTGCTCAGATTTAAAAAACAATTCAACTGTTTTTTTTTTAAGTTGATGAATTTTACCATGATTTAATAAAAGATTATTTACCTATCTATATAGCAGATCCTTACACCCTCAGCAGGCAACTGTACTTATCGAACTAGCCACTCCAAGCAAGAGTTAATTGTCTCAGGTGATAGGAAGCGCTAGTAGGTCATCGCAGTAGAATGCTACAGAGGGTCCACTGGAACTTAAAGCAGCTTTCAAGCCACCTACTCCTCAGCAGATATGGACACCACCAAGACTAAAAGTACCATGATGATCCAGAGGAAATGCAAGCCAAATGTCTTATCTCATTTGAAAATTTTGAATTATGATTGTTACAGTAAGTTTGTTTGCAAGTTCCTAGTTACAGTCAAGCTAAACAAAACCATGAACACCTAAAATATGTCTGGAATGTTTATTGTGTTCCAACCAATCACAAGCGAGATCTTCAACCACAGAAACAACAGAAAATGGATGGGTTCCATCCATCAAGGAACTATAAATTTAGTTTTTGGTTTTCACTTTGTCCCACGAGACACCCTGCATCCAGCCACAGAAAACAGATTAGTTTCCATCAGTCATGCATGGAACAAATTTGTTTGTTTAAAATAAATCCTCTATTTTTGTTATCAAGAATTTAAATTATTGCCAAAACATCCTATTTAAACACTTGCGAAGAAGGTTTGGAATATTGTTTATGTGAAAAACTATTTTCACAAACCAATGCATTGTGCTGGGCATTTGCAACCAGGGATGTAGCTCCCTTTAAGCCAGTAAGCCCAGGCTAACAAAGTTTTCTCGGTACATTTCTTTTCTCTTGGAATATTTCTTTTTTTACTTCATAGAACTAGTTTTTGGGTGACTTTGTTAAGGAAACGTGGAAGAAAAGAAAATTGCAAAAACAAAAACACTCAAGAAAACCATTCAAGCGCTCACGTCCCCAACCTTCTTTTCAGGTTTTTCTCTCATGTCTTAAGTTCTATATTTAGATTGCATACATGTAACAAGTGGAGGCCTAGCTACAATAATGCTGGAAAATCACCCAAAAATCTATCCAGATAATCTCCAAAAAAGTTATAAAAATCTCAGAAAGAAATCTAAAAATCTCATGTTTTCTAAAAATCTCAAAATTTTAACGAAAAATATCAAAACTTTTACAACAAATCTTGAGAATGCGTCTAAAAATCCCATTAATGGTTAAAATAAAAACAATGGTTAAACAATGGTTAAAATAAAAACCTGCTGTTCATGAAGCCATGACTGAAGCCTCTTGTCACTCATATATATAGCTTTACAAGCAAATTGGGTTCCTAACTGTGCATATAAAACATTTTTTAACACATTTTACAGACTTTTTTGGCTCTAAAAACTCTAAAAATTATTGACCTTGATAAATTCTTCCAAAAATCTTTTCAGCATTTAAAAATCTCAAAGCAGTCTACATTTTTGTTGCTAGGCCTAAATGAGTGCACCATTGTGCTTAATCAGCAGCAATTCACCATTATGATATCCATTGGTCACTGCAAATGACAAACGTGAGAAACATGGCATCCCACCATAACATTAGAGATCAGTTTCCGTCCTTTGCCAAGCAAGAAATTCAGATATCCAGGATTAGTCAAAACTGAATTGATTGAACAAATCATAGGCATGCTTGACTTCCCCCCATCTTCTCCGGCCGCACTACACTTACATATACGAAGTATGGAAAGGGCTTATGAGTCAAAAATGGCTAGCTATGCCCCTGAGAGCTGTACCACTGGCAAAATATATGCACATCACCCCGAGAAGCGATCTTTCCATGTTGTCAACCTTTGCCTGATAGTAGCCCGTTACTACATCTATACTGCAGTTAAAGAAAGTGAAACCTACAGCATAACAGCATTTAAAGTATTGCTAAAAAGCAAACTATCCATGGAGTGACCAAGCGTTCAAACACCCGTGAACTTTTAGATACATATATCATTCTATTGATTTTAAATGTAATAAATGTCAAGCGTAAGTAAAATGAATATTGTAAGCTACAGTATTGTCAATGGTATCAGTAGTGTAAGTTACGATAGTATTGTGACTAGTAGTAGTAGTGTAAGTAACAGTTGTATTGTAAGTAATGTCAGCAACAGAGTAAGTGATTTTAGTATTGTAAGTAATGTTAGTACTGTAGGTAATGTTTAAGTATTGTAAGAAGTGTTAGTAGTGTGAGTAGTGTTAGTATTGTACATAATTAATTTGTGATTTAAAAAAAGACTAAAAGTGGAGTTCGATCGCGGAAAAAAAAAAGGTGAATCACTCACAGACAAATGATCCAAATCAGTGCGATCCAAATTAAAGCCATTATTTTCATAACAACAAAAAGTGTTCAGGAATATTGATGTAAATCATTGTTTTGAAATTGAGGTGTTTACTGTTAGACACAACTAATTCCAGCATTGGGAAACAATTGAATTATTTTATTGTCTTTCCAGGGTCTTTAGATGACTAAATCACAGGGCCCAAGGGATTGTAATTGTTTTTTTAAAACAGATTGAGTTGCTAAAGATGATAGCAAGGTTAGCAAAACCACCAAAATTTTAAATTTTAAAAGCACGGTTATAAGATCTAAAAGATCTTCTTGTTACCTTTAATGTAACAGAACTTCTCTGCCAAGTCTTGGCGCTGTACAAGTTTATGTTTTAACCCATCACACAAAGCCTGGTAGGTTGCAGCAGAACCTTTCTTTTGTCTCCAGTGCTTTAACATGCGGTATCCCTTTTCAGACAGTTGGTCATGACCTTTATTTATTTCTTCAAGTTCTGCATCATGCACACCTAGGCGACGCCCAAGCTTTATCCACTCTTCTCCAATTTCAGCACCCAATTCTTCTAATTCATCTAACGTGGGTGTGGCATGTTTTTCTACAAAAAGAATTCAGCACAAATAAATTGTTGATGTTGTTGTCACTCACAATGCTCCTGAATGAGGGCTCCAATTTTTTGAACTAGTTTATTTTTTTTATATATATATTTCACTTTTTAAGGGTTCTCAAACAGGATAACATGCTCACTCACCACCCACCCTCTCAGTCCCCAGCCCTATCCTACCCAGTGAGGATCAAGTAATACTCTGGACAACCAGGAACAAATCCATCTAGTAGCTGAGGGTGGAGAGCTTGAACCTGGGAGCTGCAGATTACAAGATCAGCTAGAGCAGTGCAGCCACAATGTCTCCAGAGAACAAGCTTAATATTCAAACGTGTCAAGACATCATGCCTGTAACCTTAGTAAGTGCAGTATGTCCAGAATGTTTAGACATCACATGTACTTTCCCTGGCATTAGCCCAATTATTGAATCCTCTCTAATGGCCACTTTCTTGCCCCTGTCCAGTATAGTCTAGTATAGTCATGGGTCCAGTTGTTCACAAGATGGTTAAATCCTAACTTCAGGTTGAATTAACTTAACCTCTAGTTAAAATAATAATATATCCTTGGGTTAGTTCTGTGAATCGAAGGTTAGTTACAGTGCATTTACTGGAACCGGGGCCACCGAGACAATGAAAACCAATCAGATGGCAGAACTGAAACAATAGATTCAACATTTTCAAATTCAGCCAAGCAATTATGTCCTGTCTTCGAATTAAATCTCTGAGTAGGGAACGTTCCTGTGGCACCGTCTTTTGTTTTTTCTTGAGTGATTTTATACGCTGAGGCTTTCAGATAGTACAACGCAAAAAAAGTTCACTTGAATTTTGGATGAAGATGTTATTTCAATATGCTGAAAACCCATAAAGGGAGCTCAAATTCCGAAATGTACAGCTGCCAAGACAGTGAACGCAATAGTTTTTCCGAGAACTGCGTGGTGGATTTCATGGTCTGACCCTGGCCCTTACTTACATATTCACCAGAATGAAATCTGGCAAAAAAAGAGTACTTGCTGAAACATGTGCGCATGCTTGATGCCTTGTAAACACGGAAACAAGCTACTGTTAGACTATTATTCTACATATTATTGTGAAATAGCAAGATTTTCATCTCGAGAATCATGTTCTTGTTTTTAGCTGTGTAAATGCTATCTTTCACCTGATGGAGTGTGGCCATCATAAGAGTAAACACTCAAATGTTCTGTTTTCTGCCAAAATGTGGTCACCATGCAATCTGGGCACCATGGGAAGTGAAATATTATGCCACTGCATTTGGATTTATCTCTCATCTTCCAGGTTTTCAAGTTGAACTAAAGTAGCAGGAGGAAATCTTGAGGTACGTGGAGTACATCTGGTCACAATAAAGGCGGCCTTATGGGGGAAAAGTCCCAAAGTGGGTTACCTGCTCCTGCTCATGAGAGATGGGGTGCTCACAGGGCCTTGGAAAATTTTCAAAATGTATGTGCATATATGTGCATTGAGGTGCATTCAGCTGCATTTCTAGCACACAAAAGTGATTTTGTTGGAGACCATTATACACTTTAAAGACTCTTTTCATAAATGACTGCCGATTAAAAATTCATTTGCAGGTTTAAAATTTTTACTTTCAGACAAGTCTAATTGAGCGAGGCTAATTTAAATGCATAAAAAAGACAGAATAATTTTTAGATTGGCAGCCACTTTTAAAAAGGGTCTATTAACAAGAGTGTACTGAAAACTTTCTGATTGCAAGATAAGTCTCTTTGGAAGTTCATGTATAATTAAGATGCAACATACTTGCTTTTCATTCCTTTAGTATTTAATTGTCACATTGCAGCATCATTTTGGCTTGCAATTCTATTTAACTGAACTGCAATAAAATGAATCAACTATAATTTCATTATTATTTCCACAAGTTGAGTTAAAAAAATTCAAACTCAATATCATTTCCAACAGTGGCAATAAACGACAGCCTCTGCCTCATCATGCTTCATTGTGCATTGCGCTGACAAATTTGATTCATGTACGCACAACCCAAGGCTTATGTTCTGCAGCAAAATGTTTCTCTTGCTATTCCTAAAATTTGAGGTAAAGCCTGGTTCTCATATGCTGCCGACATACCTGGGACATTACAGCATATGTGAACATTTATCACTGAATCATAATCTGTCCCTGAGGCATTGACCGCCGGCTTGCCTGGGGTTTTCAGGGAGTCAGACACTTGTATCAGAAAAAGTCCTTCACTGGAGTTAATACATAAGTGATATAAACTTCACCCTGAACTTTTATAAAAAGTAAACATAACAAAAATTAGTTTCATCGCTGAGGTTACATAACGTCTGCAACATTTTAACAATCTTTTTTCTTTTCGAAAGTAACTACATGAAAGATTTTAAAACCATTCTTGTCACACAGCTAGATATCCAATAGAAACACTTTGGTAAAGAAAAATTTCCAGTAAACAAGAACATTTTCGAAATAATGGCAGCAAAACATTGTTCTGGACATTACTTTGTGGATGTTACCCTTCTTGAAGTTAAGTAAAAACATTTTGAAATGGTTCTTAAAAGTTCAACCATTGCACCACATGACCATATGTCCTTCTAGATTTGTTCTAGTTTCACCTAACAAACATTTTGACAAAAACAGCAGCTTTCAAGTGGGTTGTAAACTAATCTGAAATTTCAACAATAGAAGAGGTTCTGCCATTCTGAGGAACATAGACATTTCTAACAGTTCTTAAACCCTTTTATGCATCATGCCTGCCAATAAAATTATTAAACCAGTGCAACAATTTGGTTATCAATGGCACACTCTGTTTGCTGGGCAGACAATTAACAAACACAACAATATGGGGAAAATTTTGGCTTTGTTAAAACAAAGCCACTTTAATTTAAACCTTAAAATATAAAGTTACAATCAAAGTTCCATCTGCCTCGCAAAGGTAAGGGCAGGAAATCGCAATCACCATCTAAAACCAAGTTCAAGCTCATCAAGATAAGAGCAAATTCAAAACAAATAATTGAAATGAAAAGATCTAAAGTATAATTTGAACTGCTTTCTTACAACAATATCAAAAACGTCCCAGAATAAGGGAATTCAAAAAAAAACAAAACTGCCTCACTAAAACCTAGGAGGCAAGTTGGGGTGGAGGTGGGAAAACTCAGCAAACTAACTCTATGCCTCCACTAAAATCAATCTGAATTCCAACTGTTTGTTTATGACAGCACATACACCATGTACACGACACCGAATCAAACTAAGGCCTTGACCCAATCCCCTAATGGTTAAGTTGAATCTAGCGAATAATATTTAAGACTGCCAAGTTCGCCAAGCTCTGGGTAAGAATAAAATAGGCGGGGCAATGCATGAAATCTTTTATTCGTAAAACAAATAAATTCCTTTATGCATTATGCCTGCCAATAAAATTATTAAACCAGTGCAACAATTTGGCTATCACTGGCATGTTCTGTTTGTTGGGCACACAATTAACAAACACAACAATATGGGAAAATTTTGGCTTTGTTAAAACAAAGCCGCTTTAATTTGAACCTTAAAATATAAAGTTACAATCAAAGTTCTGTCTGCCTCAAAAAGGTGAGGGCACGAAATCGCCACAGCCCTCCCCAGGGCCACCCCACCCAAGCCATTGATAGCCACAGAGCCACAAAATGAAATGGAATCAATATCCTAACTAAAAGTCCCTAAATAACAATTATTGGAGCCAGAAATACCAACAGTTGCCCTGCTAATTGCCACTACTTCTACCTCTAGGTAGTCAAAAGCAACCAACCCTGTTGATTGCCCTTGCTTTGCTTGCAAAGAGGCCCCTCTCTACTCTCTAAAGAGGAGCATAACTTCCTGCACCAGAAAAGCCCCAAAAACAATGAGTGATAATTCAAGGGATACATAAATAATTAGCCCTGCTAATTATCCACAATCCCAAAAAGTGGAAGGACTCAAACCTTACGTCATCACCTCAGCAATTTGCCCGGCAAATTGCCTATGCAAGTTATCTAAAAACAAAATTGCTTTCTGTAATCTTAGGTACCAACACTAGAGGCCATAAAGGAGTTAATCCAAATGTATTGTTTAAAGGCATTTGACTTCCATCTTCCCATTAACCATATTTGAGCATCAGAGAGCCCTTGTTCAGCAGCCAATGAAGCTGCACCGATCCTAAAACTATGGCTTTTATACCTTCCAAATGGCAAACCAGAGTGGCGAAAAACCACACAGCGTAATGTCCACAATGTTGGTTGTAATGTCCACAATGTTTAAGTTCAAGTACCCTTCCAAATTGTGAATGTCATGATCAGTTCAAATGAAATCAGCCTTTTTGGGTCACACAACCACTAAACTGTATATATTTGGAACAGTTCATACAAAACCCCGATACTTCACAGTAATTTTGAATTACTACTAATGCACTCAATATTGTGGTTGTTCTTTTTATGTAATGTCCACGAGAGTGTTTCTTTGTGGCGGGTCTAAAACACAGGTCACAGGTCATTGTTTTACCAATATCGAAACAACCTTAAAAGCCTAAAACATTGTCTTAGTGTAGTATTTAGGCCTAAAACATTGTCTTAGTGTAGTACTTAGGCCTAAGATTAGCATTAAGAAGGAGTTAGGGTTGTTCCAGTATTGGTGAAATAATGACCCGTGACCTGTGTTTTAGACCTCCCGGTTTTTTACTCTATATATCTCTAACAGAAATCAGTCAATTAAAAAAATTGTACAGCCCAGTTAACATGTCAGTAGGCACAAACATGTTCATAAATGGAAAACTAGACAACTCCTTTTTATTCTTTGTCTGTGCTAAATTAAAGTTTCAAAATTAAGTCTGAATGTAATGTCTATGATGGTGGAATTGCCCATTTACAGATGGAATGGTTGACAATTGCACCAATTCGATTTGCATTTTGCACAAATTTTAGAATGTCAGTGACGCATCGTATATGTGCCAGGGACCCACTGTTACAGATCGCCGAACGTTATCAGTTGCAACCAATGACTATGTCGCGGGTAGGTCGGCGGGATGTGAGAACCAGGCTTAAGTTCCCAGTCAAAGTAGATGGCAAAATCATGTCAAGTGGCCGGTGAGTTTTGCCGGCCCCAGGCACTCATTGAAACCTTGACTGCACTAACCTGATAATGGATTTCTTCTCCTGTTTGTCTGCACCAGTCCTTTATCTTGTGCAGAGGTAACTGCTTCCACCTTCACAGTGATAATATTTCCAGTTTGGTCTGATAAAACAATAAATAAAATACACTGCAAGTCACAATAATATATTTTAACATGTGATGCACAACATTTTGATGAAGAACTACCATTTTGCTTACTTGAAGTAGTCCCCACACAATTGTTGACCATCCTACAAATTTTGCTCAAAAAATTATAAATGGCTGAAGACAGAGCAGGCACCCTTCCCTCTCCCCCC